CCCCAAAACCCCAAAACCCCAAAACCACAAAGGATATTTTTTGATAATTAGTAAGTCAATAAATAAATATTTATTACATGTCAACTCCCAAAAAAGGGTCAAGTCCATCACCCTAAAAAAACTAAAACTGTTTGGCTGATCATTTTGCTTGGTAGCAAAGAATCCACAAAGAGAACATGGGAGGCCAAAGATCTCTTGAAAGAAGTGTTGAAGAAGGCTTGGTATCACATATACCAGTTAATAAGCAAGTGTATACTTACGCAGCTAATGATGTCAAAGAGAGTACTTAGTATCTTATGAAGTTTATGAGAGAAAACATCACTTTGGGAGACAGCGAAGCAAATCAAAGATCTAGATCACTTAGACATGATGAAGTCTTTATGAGTCCTAGCAAATATGCTGAAACAATGAGATAAAAGTAAGAGGCTGATAAATCAGCAACTCTTCCATAACAGACAATAAATGATCCATTTGGTGTATATCAATACAACGGGAAAAGTCCATTTGCCTTATATCCAGATCCAAAGAATAAGCAAGATATCAATGCCAATCCTCCAGTATCAAACTACCTAAGTCAAACACATACTGGCTTTAGAATGTAAGACTCTCAGACATTTGTAAAGTATCCTTTCAAGCCAGCAAAGAAAATGTATTATGGACATGATTTTAGAAGTAAATTTATCTTGAGGAATCAATACATTTATAGATTATATGGGCTCTTCACTTGAGCTAGGAGATCCAGATATAGTCAAGCATGAGATCAAACTACTTAGCAAGTCTAGATCTAATTTCACTTTGACTCCAGCAACTCAACAAAAGAATCTTAACTATGATTAGTTCTCTGTTAAGATCCTCAAGCGTAAGAATTCTATAAACTAATATTTTAGCTGGAAAATAGGAGTCCTAAGTTGATGAAGCATCTGAGAAATATTCAGATATCAAATCAAATGCTTCAAAATTAGAGAGAAGATCATCAGTTGGTGTGATTGCAGCTTTGAATTTGGAATCATAGTCTAAATATGATATGAAGAGTCTTAAGAGTATATCGAAAATGTCCTAAGGAGACTAACAAGACTAAAAATCTAACATGAGTCCAATTAAAAAATCACTCCAAATTGCAAAGCATCTCAATGGGGGTGCTAAACTCTTAACAACTAACAACTAAGACGTTTCATTAAGTAATAAATAAGTTTCTCAACATTTTTTAGAACTCAGCAAAAATGGGAGATATAATTACCCCCAAATAAAGGATTCTAAGCAACTTGATGAGTAAGAATAAGTAGTAGTTAATTAGAATTTTAGAATTGTTAAGCAGCTTTAGGATACCCTTGGCAAGGATGTAGTTAGTAAAAAAGTCATAATAAACAAAAATAACTTAAGAAAAACTAGCAGTAATTTTAAATTACCATCAATCAACAGCTAATTATGAGATATCAAGTGATCTTAAGATTAATATGACAGTGCTTGAGGTATTTTAGCTCATAAAAACTAGTCACATTCATAAGCAAGCTTATCTTCATTTTTAAATAAAAATATTTCAATTAAATACTATAATTTTTTTATTTTTTACTTTTTTATCAGTTTATTTACATAGTGGGGTTTTGGGGTTTTGGGGTTTGGGG